CAACCACCAACAACCACCAACAACCACCAACAACCACCAACAACCACCAGTCACCAACCCCATCAACGCTCGGTCACTCTCATCCTTCCTCTACTCCTCTTTTCAAACCGCGTTTGTTCTTCTTCTTCTTCTTCTTCTTACAGGGGTTGTGTGTGGTGAAGTTGTTAACATGTGGGGTTATCCGGTCCTATAATTTTTCTTTCCGCCCTTCAAAAGACCAACGTAGTCAGTCACAAACCTTCATTTTTTGGGGGCGGAGGAAGGACTTCTCCAATGAATGTGGGCAGGTGGAATACGGTGAAAGGCTTGCTTGTGAGGGCAACTCGAAGAGTCAGAAAGACGTTGGCGTGGATAGGTAGTGGTGGCAATTCAGCAATTGATATTGACCGGTAGTAGACACTCCACACCGAGCACGCGTGCAATTAACCCCACAAACCTGCACGCCTGCCTGAGTGCACGAGCCTGCGCCGAGCCCCCAAGCCCGCATCGAGCCCGCGAGCCGGCGCCGAGCCCGCGCTGAGCCCGCGCCAAGCCTGCGCCGAGCCCGCGCTGAGCCCGCGGGCCCAGACCTTCAACGTTGGAGAGGATGACCACGATCGACGCGGACGGGAAGGGCGCGAAGGATCGCGCTCTCAAATTCGCTCAAGTACTGGGTCAAGGAGACGATCGGGAGTTCGAGGCGTTGGGCGAAGATGCCAAGATGACTTCCGGGACGGTCTAACGAGACACAAGTGGCTAATGATACTCAAAGCCATTTAATGGTTACATAAAAACGTGTCGTGCCAATGGCTTATGGTAGCCTCTATGTAGACTGTGCTTTCTATACGCTGGAAGCTTGGGGCTAGTCGGTCTGGCAAGGATGCTGATCGCATTATCATCGAGAATGCTTTGTTCATAACCCACCCACCCTAGAGCACGGAGCTCCGCTACCAATGTTGGACCCCATCTTGGAACGACGCATGTGCGCTGCAACGATACATCTCGACGACAGAACCACTGCTGGAGGAAGAGCACGAACCCACACTAGAACAGCTCTCCGCCTTGAAGAAGAAATTGCCGTTGGGAAAATCCCCTTTCGCGGACTTTGGGGTCTTCGTGCCGTTCATGAGGGCTTCAAAATACAGGACATGGAACCGGACGGCGGAAGGCTACGTATCGAAGGAACTACCGGGGCCTTCGAACTTCACTCAATGGAGGGCTTCCTTTTGGGTGTTCACGACCGCCGTGATCACTCCAGGAATGCTCACTGGCACCACTTCATGCTTACGCGCTATACGTGGAGAAGCTGACGCGCCTCTACCCAGATGCTTGGCATTTTAGTGTATGAGGCGGACGAGATGTCAAGGAGCGAACTGCTGTCCCGGTTGAAGCTGAAAATAAACATGGACATGAAGGAAGGACATCCCATCCCCTTGAACTACGACGACAAGAGACCGTGGGAAGCAGTGATCAAGCCGGTGCCGAACAAGTTGAAGTTCTGGGAGGATCAAATTCACAAAATTTGAGGTTACCGCACGGGACTCGCCCAATCTTTCCCCAATAGAATCACTTGTCTGGGGGTTAGTCTTCTGGTTCTGGCTCAAGGCCACACTGCCACCGTTTGGGAAGGAGAAACTGAGCCTTCCCAAAAGCCATTGCCTTTTTTGAGCCAGCAAACCCATGATCCAAAGCCCCAGAAAGCCTCTGTGACTAAAGCTTGCCAAGCAGAGACAGAGGAACCTCCTGGTGCTCCACAGAAACCTAGAAGAGTGCGACGAGGAAATGGGGAACGAAAGGTTTCCTCCGCTTCTAGCAGCAAGGCTCCTTCCCAGCCATTTCTGGAGGAAGGAGGAGAGTCTGGGGAAAGTTCTAGTGATGAAGGGGGCAGGAAGCGCAACCTGCCAAAGCCACAGCAATCTTCTCTCTTGGGTGGCAATCCATACAAACCTTTGTATCAGGGACCTTCTGGAAGGAAGGAGAATATGGATGAAAAGAAACGAGACCAACAGAAACGAGCCTACGACTTCCTTCTGTTACCCTAGATAGCGGGTGGGATAAAAGTGCGAGTTCGGGTGCAAGGTGGGTGTGTGTGTGGGTGTGTGTGAAACTTGAAACGCTGTGGAATGAATCTCTGTGGACCCGGCGGTGTGGAGTCTCCGTGGCTCGGCAGCTTGTGAATCTGGAAATTCGTTGAAGCTTGTGATTCCGTGGAACCATAATCCAAAGCGTGCAGAAAACTCGACATCAGTTGCACGGTAGTCCGGAATGGTCTCAGCGCCCCAGTGACGGGGATCACACTCTGCACCCAGTGGGACGACAGAGCGGCGCACGCTTAGATAATGGGTTTGCAGTTACATCAGTTCCCCCAGGAAACGAGCGAGGGAACCGTTCATTTGAAAAGTTGAAAACTCTGTTTGTGCATGACTGCAGAACGCGGCGGCTGCGAACAACGGCGCGGCTCAGCTGCAAAAGCCCAGGGTTTTGGGGTCTATCGTGAGAACAACCATGGAAGCAATACACAGCGCGGGAAAGAATGGAGTCACATCATCCGCAGGACTCATGTCACAGGAAATCCATGGTGTCTTCGTTGGATGCCGACCATGGAAATCCCCGGCATCCCCCTGCACATACTCTTTGGGACAGAGTGTGACACACACACACACACATCTCAATCTAACATTTTTGTCCGACAGGTAGACATAAAGAGAGAACGCAATCACGTATTGTGCCAGCGACTTCGCTTCACAGGATTAGTTTGTGCACCTCCCTGGCGACGCTATTCATTCAAGGTGCTGCTACAACTGGGTCTTCTTCCCATCAGCTTAATTTAGACTTAAGGCTGGCTTTGCTGGAGGCGTGCTTTTGTTTTCATGTTCCACCATGTGTGCAAATGGATAGCCTCCTGAACACGAACATGGACCCTGAAAATGGACCCTTGGAAGATGATGGTCCTTGACAAACCAGTGGTTTTCAAGGTCCATGTTAGTTTGCAGAGGGGTACAAAGTATATAATATGCAAGTTCATTTGCGTATACAGGCACATATATTTTCTTGCATGCTCCTACGTGCTTGTGTATGCCTGTATTCCTTTCACATATATATATTTATATACATGTATATACATACACAAAAATATGTATCAACAAACAAACTATATATATATATATATTTCACGAAGACAGGCAAAGATGCGGTTTCCCAAGCAGGGGTGCATATGTCCAATTGTGGCTAGATGGGTGACCCTCATTAATCCTCGTCATTTTTGGCCAAGAGAAATGCTTGTCAAGACTGCGGTGTGCATGTACAACACAAGCACACTTTGCACTAAGGATGGTTGTTGACGAGATTCTTTGAAGATCCTTGCAGAAAGTGTTTGAGGGCTTAGGCCCATGATGCGAATAGTTGCATGCCAGAAGGGACTCAGACCATGAGCCAGTGGTAAGTATGCAAGCTCAGGCTGTTGATCCCATGTCAAATTGCGCCTCAGAGCAACGATCAACGCGTCACGTTTTGGTAGCGACTGCCCGGCTGATCTGCAATGCTAGCAAGTTTGGGTGATGGTCAAATCTCCCCTTCTCTCTATATAGGTCCTCAGCAATTTGAAGAACCAGGATCTTGATCACTGCTTGTCCAGAATCATTTGGCATCGTTTGTATTTCAAAGCAGACCGCATTTTGGCATGAAGCTGGAGCTGAAGCTAGAGTGTAGCCCTGTTTCACCAGGTTGCCAGGACCAGGGAAACCAAGAGGTTCACTCTTTGGCCAGATGGGACAGCTCAGTCCTCGCAAAACAGCTCAGCCCTTCTACTCATCAGGGAACGAGCAAAGACAATTTGGCAATGTCATAGACTGTTGTGTTGGTCAGGCCCAGACATTGTCAGCTGTGATCTTAAGTGTGGCGGCTGATGGCAATGCCTTGAATGCCAACGATATGTCATGTTGCTTTCAGCCATCCATGTAGTCGCTTGTATGGGTGGTAAATAGGCAGAGAGCCAGCAACTTTTCAGTTCCCAACAGCTTTTTGCTGGAAGTATGAAAACTCCAAGTTGATCATATAAAGGCGATGAGCACAAACCTCAACGGTTATTCAGACTTCAATGCAACAGGAATGGAAAAGAACAAAGAAGAGGAAGAAGAAATGATCACCACAGGCTGGCAAGGTGTTTGGTAGCATGCTTAAGCAGTGATGGCCTGAGTGAGCTCGACAGCTCGTCTCCCCTGATTTAGTTTGACCCCTTCTTTGCTTTCACCAAACTTGGAGTGCACCTGGAGAACTTTGCACTGATGTGTTTGTCAGACCCGCATCATGTATCTTTCCAGCATTTCTCAGTCGTTTGCCTTGTATCACAGTGACCTTTCTTGTGTGCAGGAGAAGGAATGGCATGCTGAGTCAGCAAGTCAATACAAGTGCTGAAACCTGTACGAGATGCACTCTCGCCTCGCTTCATGAGCGAACCCTGAAGCTTGACACGCACACAGACACACGATAGATCAAGATAGCCAAATCATTAAGGGCAATTAAAGCACGGTTGAATCAGAACAGGGCAGACCATGGAGTTCCAGTACATGTGCCTTTTCTCTGTACCAGGCAACAAGACAATGGGGTTACCGGGTACCGCTGTTATATACATATATATATATACACATGTTTATGCGGCTACTGAGATTCAAGCATTTTGTAGGCACGTACAAGCAGACACAAGCGAAGTTTGCGGAAAATGAGCTGCTGCAAATGCTGCCTTTGGCAGTGCATGCACAAGCATGCCCGGCTTTGACAAATGAACAGTTTGTGTTTGGAGGAGAGACAAACAACATGTCTCTTTTGCAGCCGTTGATTGAGGAGGCGGGAACATGTCAGCTTTGGCAACTCTCTCTCTCTCTATATATATATATACATAGATTGTATTTATCCTTTCTTGTGCTTTTGGG